CCCACCCTGTAAAATTAGTCTGGCACTGCTTGACAGCTCAGCCAAAAACTGAGTCTAGGAGAGCCACTAACTGCGATGACATGCAGAAATAATTAATCTACTGTTTTGCAACACCTTTCTTTCCCAATAGCTTTGCTCAGTAGACAGTGTGTCTTTATTATTTCCGTTTCTGACAATACAAATACCTGTTCTATTTTTGACTTTATAGCTGTCTTTTAGATGTACTAACCTTAGATGCAGAAACTGCACCTGCAAAAAGTTAGAGGTTGATAAATCACATTGCAGGTGCTAATTAATAAAATTTGCATAATCTCCTCCTAGTGTTTGCATGTTTTGAGGATTAGCTTTTGTGACTGAATGTTCATGAAGGCACCACCTGTCCTTGTCAGGCCAGAGACAGTCCAAGCTGAGCCCAGTTAACAGATAAGCTTTAAGTGCAGTTCTGCATGTGTCTGTATAGATGCAAAGTAAAAAAAAAATGGGGACTTGTTTTTTTTAATAGTATAATTTCACTTATTTAATCAGATTCATGTTTTAATTATCAATATTGTTATAAAGTAAAGAGACTTTGAATACATCTAATCCAGCTAGTTATCTATTTTTTATTTTTATTTTTTTTAGGGTTCCCTAGTGGATGATGACAGCCTGATTGATGTCCTTAAGAACACAAAGCAAACAGCTGAGGAGGTCACTCAGAAGCTGCAGATCGCTGCAGAAACCGAAGTTCAGATAAATGCTGCTCGGGAGGAATACCGACCAGGTAGGCTCTGAGACAGAATTTAGTTCTTATGTTAACTTCATTATATATATATATATATATATATATATATATATAAAATTAACCAACATTTTTCTAAATTTTAACAACCTTGCCAGCATGCAAGGTTCATGCAATTCACAAACACATGATAATTCTTCTTGTCCTGCTCTGCTCCAATCATTTCAGACCGACCCAAAATAGATGGGCCAATTATGTAGCAGCATTATTGTTTGTTGTTGATTATTGTAAACTTGAATGTGATGGTTCTTTTTTTCAAAGTTATGAAATACAAAGTAGATTATTATGTAGATGGAAAAAAATGGAACAGCGTTGCAATTATTTTGCAAGGACCAGAAAGCTTCAACTTCCATTTGTATTCACTCTACTGTATCACTGCATGTATCAAATAAAATGTAGTGCCAATACCTACATGTAAAAGTCATATATCTTATAAAAGAGAGTAGAAGTTTTTGTGTATTTAATCTCAGTATATAAACAATTGTTTTTTTGTTTGTTTTTTTACAGACCACAAAGGTTTGGAAGGGGACTTTAGTGAACAAAAAACACAGTAGAGTCCAAATTATGAGTACTGTTATGGGAAAATTTAAAGCAGTCTAAGGATATGGAAAATATTCCAAGCTTTGATTTGAATTTAAATCTAAGAATCCATGACTGAATTTGGCTCTGGCCAGATCTGGCAGGACCAATCACAGTGCGGGAGGCAATACTTTACCATGTGTTAACCCCGTTTCCTTTCTGCTTTTGTGCTAGCATGCAGTAAGATGGCGACAGCAACGGAGAAAAGTTTTAATGATGCCCTTCTGATGTCCTAAGTGTGATCGATCTAATGTTAAACTCTTAAAAAAATTAAGCTTTAGTGTCATTAGGTTTTAAAAGACATATTTGCTATTCTTGGCTAGACATGTTTCACAGACTACAAAATTACAAAAACAGAGCATATTGCTTGGGGTTTTTGAGGACTAACATTTTCATGAGGTACAAAGGCTCAATCAAGGTGCAGACCAACATCCATTTTCAAATCTGTGACAGGATTTTTGTGGTCCAAAGAGGCTCTCTTTCCAATATACTATTTTATAAAAAAAATGAACATAGACCTCAGTCTCCTTAGCTCAGCGCTACCAAAAGAAATGTTGTTGTAATTGCAGCAAATGTGTCTTGATAGGGTATTTTCTAAGGCGTGATAGAATACGAATGTATGTAAAAAAAGAAATTCAGATTTTTCTTAAATTAAATGTAATTAAACATATTATATTATTAAATAGTTTCTTCTAAATGAAAAATAAATGTATCATTATGTTGTTTGCCTTCTTTTTAAAAGTTTGTGCTTTTGTTTGTTTCTGTGTGATTTTAGTGGCCACTAGGGGCAGCATCCTGTATTTCCTTATCACTGAAATGAGTAACATAAATGTCATGTACCAGACCTCATTGAGGCAGTTCCTGGGACTTTTTGACCTTTCTCTTGCGAGGTGAGATATACTAGTACTTATGACATCACCATATTATTGTATGACATGACCATTTTGTAAAGCAGTGCATAAGTAGTTTCACCTAACATAAACTTAGCTTATAGAAACTCAAATATTATTAAACTAGCTTTGTGGCAACATCCACAGAAACTTGTCATGTAATCATTATATTAGAAAAAACTTTGTTGCTACATTTTATGGTTTGATGTTGTATTCTAGGTATTTTAACTATATTCATGTATACATTCATATATATGTTTATTTAGGTTAAAATAGCTAATACAGCAATAGTGTTTAAAGTTGTTTGTTTCCAAATCAAACTTGATCAAGTCTCATGTTATTTATATTTTGTGGTCAAAATACCATTTGTTATTTTTAATCTTTTTCAAAGCATTACTTAACTTAAAATGCAATCAACCACACTGGCAAAGAGATTTGTAAGTTTGAGTAATTTATTCCTCAGATGAAGCCTCACAGGCTGAAACATTTGTCCAGAAGTATGTACAGACTAAACTCTGATCTCTAGTTTCTATTTGATTTTTAGAAAGTTGATCTTTGAGAGTTAAATATTTTTACACTGTAGTTGGAAATCAAGACTAAAGACACTACGTAAAAACTAACGTTTATGCTTTTATTTTTTTTTACCTAAACAGGTCCTCCAAAAGTCCAATCACCAGCATGCGGATTGCTAGCATCATAGAATACATGACCTTTGAGGTGTACCACTATGCAGCACGGGGTCTTTATGAAGAACACAAGTTCCTTTTCACCTTGCTTTTGACTTTGAAGATCGAAATGCAAAGCAATAAAATCAAACATGAGGAGTTTCAGACACTCATTAAAGGTATAACTTTTCTGTTCACTAAATTTCCATCTGCTCTTTAAACAGGTGCTGTTTTCCTTATCTTTTTAAAGGTGAATTCACTAACAACCTTTAATCTTAACTTCCCCCTTACTTTGTCCCTGACCTCTTTGTTTAATACACTAATGTTTTCTAACAAACCTACAAAGCAAATGCAGTTATATTGAGCTTAAGTGACACAAAAAATTGAAAAGTTTAGTAATAAATTAAGTTCTGAATCCATTCAGTTATGATGGAACTTATTCAGGTCATCAGAGTAAAGGGCGGCTGAATGAAAATTAAAACCATTTTCACTGTTTGTTTTTTTTACTTCAACATTATGCATAGTTTTTCTTTTACCCAACACTTCTCTAATATTTTTGCATATCTATCATATAACATTGCACCAAAATACATTGTAAGTTTGTAACTTTAACATAAAAAACTATACAAAATCATAAAGTCTTTGAAAAAAAGAGCTTAAAACAGCTGGGCCTTATACCTTGTGCTTGGTGAAAATACTCAAAGTGCCAAATGTTGAAAATTGGTACAACGAAAATGTAAAAATATGTAAAAGAAAATCTTAAATATTTTGTATATTTTACAGCATGGTAAATAGTTTTTTATCTTGAAATAAGCAGTCACATTAACCAATTTTATAATATTTCTATTAACAGCACAACATGGGTTTTCTACTTGTAGCACCTTATTCCCAAATGTAGCCCTGTTTCCTGTCAGAACAAAAGTCCATAGTGCTACAAGTAGATTCAGAACAGACTCTCTGCTACATGCATGCAGCTTCACCAACTGTCAACTATAAACCATTAAACACAGTACTCTTGACACAGTTCTCTTGACTATTATACAAAATAATTTCCAATGTATAAATTCTATGTATTTTTGCTTTTTGAATGATTGCTTTCAGCCAAATATCCACCTTATCATTTTGCTTGATCCTCATGTGTGGCTGTGTTCATGTGAACATGTATGTGTATGTTTTTGCATCATACAGGCGGTGCATCTCTGGATCTGAAAGCCTGCCCTAAGAAACCAGCCAAGTGGATTCTGGACATGAGTTGGCTCAACCTTGTGCAGCTCAGCAAACTCAGCCAGTTCTCTGACATACTGACTCAGGTCAACATAATGCACATCTTAATCATTTTAGTCATAAATCTTTAGCTTGGAAAGATTTACCCAAATACTTTTCATCTGCTGAGTTTCCATTAATTCAATTCAATTTGATTGCGCCAATTTATAACACATGTCATCTCAAGGCACTTTACAGTTCACCAGATCATACAGTCAAATTGATTCAAAGTTTTCTATCAAAGAAAACCAGTTGATTGCATCAACTCATTGACTCGAAGGCAATCCCTCACACTAAGCATGGTTGTAGCGACAGTGGAGAGGAAAAACTCCCTTTTAACAGGAAGACACCTCCAGCAGAACCAGGCTCAGTGTGAGCAGCCATCTGCAGAGGCCAACTGTGGTTCAAGGAGACAGAAGCAGACATACAGAAAGAAGCAGAGATACAAAAGGCAACCGTAAAAGGCGGCCCCGTCCAGGAAACACACAGCCAGGCAGAAGAATCCGTGCCAGCTCCCATGTCAGAGGATGAAGAGAGCACATCCAGCCAGTCATAGTCAGAAAAACAGGACTATTGAACTAACAGATTCTACAGAGTTGGAGAATAGAGATAGAATGATGAAAATGCGGTTAGTAAGGAGGTTTCAACTGTTCATCACACACACTGATGCATTTGTGGTCTCTGGGTGCTCTGGGCATCCCCACAAGGCACCAGGAGGGACCTTTTCTTTTAGCAACCTTTGGCTATGCAATTATTAATTGATTAATCGGGAAAAATAACCGTCAGATTAATCCCTTTGCAGAATAATTGTTATTTGCAGCTCTTATATATATATATCTGTGTGAGATGTATAGCCCTATGTCTATATTTCTTCCAGATAAGTAATAATGAGAAGCAGTGGAAGCTTTGGTTTGATAAAGAAGCCCCGGAGGAGGAGGAGCTTCCCAACTCCTGTGACCAGTCTCTGGACTGTTTTAGGCGGCTGCTCCTTATTCGCTGCTGGTGTCCCGACAGAACCATCGCACAGGTTAAAAAAGATCTTATCCTTCTGTAATCTTGGAGAACTTGTAGAGTCTTAAATTAAACATTGATTGAAAATCAATCAATTAGCAATCACTTAGTCGGAAAATTAAGATGGAAAAAAATTCTAAACGTACTGGAAAATTGTGTGGCTACACTGACTATACCCAATAATTTAATTTAAAACCATATTTGTAAATACCAACAACTAATTAAGTTAATGTAATACAGGCAATGACTGCAGTTCCCAATTTATAATTTATTTACTCTGTTTTTTGTTTGTTTGTTATCTTCTTATTTTTTTATTTTTGCTTTTTTAACAGTACATAAACCTTGACTTTGCACCATTTGATTTTTGCTCTCCACCCTAGGCTCGTAAATACATAAAAAATGCAATGGGGGAGAGGTATGCTGAAGGGGTGATCCTTGACCTGGAGAAGATGTGGGAGGAATCCGACCCACGGACACCTCTTATCTGCTTCCTTTCAATGGGATCAGATCCTACTGACTCAATCACTGCATTTGGGAAAAAGCACAAGATTGAGACCAGATATGTCTCTATGGGACAAGGACAAGAGGTCCATGCCCGTAAGCTTCTACAGCAGAGTATGGCTAATGTAAGTCAGGGCTGTGAAGTATAGTAGCTGATTTTTTATATGTTTCAGTAAATCTGCTGTATTTATAGTTTTTTATACAGTAGTTCCTGCCAATCTTGAAACTGACTTGGAAAACATACTCCTATGACATCAAAGCTTTTGTTGGTCATTGTTCTTGCGATTGTTTACAGGGTGGATGGGTCTTGCTCCAGAACTGCCATCTGGGTCTAGACTTCATGGATGAACTGATGGACACAGTGACAGAAACAGAAAATGTCAATAAGAGCTTTCGCCTTTGGATCACCACAGAGGTCCACAACCACTTCCCCATCGCACTTCTTCAGATGTCGATAAAGTTCACCAACGAACCACCCCAGGGCCTCAAAGCAGGGCTTAAGAGGACGTATGGAGGTAGACTTCAGAGTGGTCTATCTTGTATTGAAACATTATTTAAATTAACCCTGTCAAATATAGATGGAAAAACTGTTTAAGTAAAACTTCTCACATGGAGACCAATTATGTTAGCCTGAAATAAAGGCTGGAAAACATTTTTTTCAAAATGGAAAAAATCAAAAGCAGATAAGGGTATTATGAATTCATTAGTATATCTGTGTATGCATAGAGATCTAGACTCTTTTCATATCCTAGGGGAAGGACGACAGATGAGATAGAAAAAAAAAATTCAGAAGAAACAAATGCTTGTTGCTTAATTTAGAGCATTTATGGCCAAGTGTCATGAGCCATGGGGAAGGTTTATGAGACATGAACTTTGTGTTTTTATTCAAAACGTAGAAGGGTAAAAATAGAACACTTAATATGCTAGATAGAGCTGTCTGTTCCTTGCTCATATTGAAGGGATTAAGTTTCACTCCTGAAGGGCAATTGAGAGTCTGTGTTCTTGTTTTCAGCTCTTAAGTCTTGCAAAGAATAAATCCATTTCATTAGCAAATTAACTCAATTTAATTACATATTTTGTTCATAAAGTTATAGCTGTTGATGTGTTGACACGTGTCTTTAAACAGGCATTAACCAGGACCTTTTGGATGACACTAACACGGTCCACTGGAAGCCAATGGTGTACGCTGTAGCATTTCTTCACAGTACAGTTCAGGAGAGGAGAAAATTTGGCCCTTTGGGATGGAACATTCCGTATGAATTCAACCAAGCTGACTTTAATGCCACTGTCCAGTTTGTCCAGAATCACCTGGATGACATGGACATAGATAAGGTGGGTGGATTTCATGCTATGAGTTAATGATGATTAATAGCTGTAATGTTTTGGATATTTTTAGACTCCCATTTATGAAGTTTAAGCTTCCTAGTTCATTGTAAACCACTGTTAAAGTGTGACTACACATTATCATAAGCTACATATTTCATTCTGAATATCTCCGGACATTTCAGAAGCCTACACCTTTCTTTTCCAATGCAACATTTTTGCTGCCTTAAGAAATGTAGGATTTATAACCACAAAAGCTCTTTCCACTTTTAATATGTTATATAGTTTGTAATTTGTGTCCAGGGAAAATGTAAAAGAAGAAAGAAAATGGGCTCCAGTATCTTTGTTACATGTAATTAAGCGGTTTGCTCTGTTATTATCTTTCTTTTCTCAACCCCACACAGGGTGCAATCAGGGACAGTAAACCACAGTAAATATTAGCTCAAGTTTACCTGCAAGAGCAGGTGAACTTTAGCTAATAATCTAAAACCATGAGTTATACGGGTTGCAAAGGATCCCCCTGAAAAACATCTTAAACATTAGATACAAATACAATGCTGGAATCAAAAAAGGATTTTCACATTAATTTAAACTGCTGTATGAGTGAGTTTTAAGCCAACCTGCATTTCAACAATAGAATGAATAATGATAACTAAAAGCTAAAGTTTTGAAACTCCCCTAACTACATCCAACAGTTACCCGATCCCTAACCATGTTGATCAATAACCACAAACTGAATAAAATGCAAAACCTTTGCAAGTGGACAAATGATGTCAAGATTTGTGATACTGTTAGACCTACTAAACAGAACTTAGTGCTGCTATTCAATTAAAATATATTTTTTTAACTTAAAGCAACCAAGTAAGTATTTTTTTCCAAAAGATTTTTTTTGTTTGTTTAAAAAGGGAAAACATTTTCTTTGTTCTCAGGGTGTTTCATGGAACACAGTTCAATACATGATCGGTGAGATTCAATATGGTGGCCGTGTGACTGATGACTTCGACAAACGTCTCCTTAACACCATTGCCAAGATCTGGTTCAGGGAGGAAATGTTTGAACCCACCTTTAATTTCTACAAGGGCTACAGTATCCCCAAATGTTCCAGTGTGGAACAGTATCTCAGCTACATCCAGGTAAGAGGAGGAGGATGAAGCTGACAGTGACAGAAAAACTCCAGTGTGAAGGATTTTATACCTATATTATATCTCTCTCTCTCTCTCTTAGTATAAGAGCTACAGTCTTTAAATTGTTTGATTCTTATTTCAATGTCTAAAATGTTAAGCTAATCAGATCTTATGCAACCAGACAAAATGTTTCCCCTGGAGTTTATTTTATGTTGGTGACTCAGCAAAGGCAGTAATTTAGCAAATGAGGCCAGCTGGAAAATTGGTATTGATTGGTCCTATCAGAGAGAACAGAGTCAGTGCATCTCTTCAATACTTGCAGAGCACTTGTTTCCCTACTGGCACTTGGATAGCTGTGCTGCTCATCTCCACAACTCAACACATTAGACTGTTTGTGATAAGCTAGCAGGATATCCTATCACTTCACAAGCATTTCCTTCAAATTAGTCAGGGGCAATCCAGCATTCTGCACGAGTGGTAGTGTGACTTATCCATGTGTTATGCTCTCTGTATCCTCATCAGAAGGTGACAGAACAGCAGCTTGTGACACCATGTGTAGCTGATATCACACTCAGTGACCACTGCTCCCAAAGCTGGGCACAGACATAAGCATTTGTGCCTTTTGATAGAATTAGGGAGAAGACATTTCCAATAAAGACAAAAAGGAAAACAAAAGTAAATTAAAGTCTCAGAGGGCCTTGGGAGTCCCACGCAGGTCATCGCCTCTTGGCCTATCGCAACTGAGGGAGCCATGCAACACTGCCTCCAGGTGTTTGGCCAGACCCATTTCTGATTCCATTAAAATCGTAAATTTTACACCAGAGACAATTTTCTGTAAAGTTTGGTGAGTTCTTAATATGTTAAAGGCATCAAATAAACGTTTATTTTGGGAGAAAATAATACACATTCAAAATTATGGTGGTACAGACAGGTGGAGTGTTGTATGGATACAGATCAGGGTGTGACGGTAGGGAATTTGGGTTTCTCATAGAGTAGATTTAAAACTTCTTTGTGATTTAACTAATTTCTGTATTTTACAGGGTCTTCCAGCCTATGACACACCTGAAGTGTTTGGTCTCCACCCAAATGCAGACATAACATTTCAGAGTAAACAGGCTAAAGATGTGCTGGATGCCATTCTCAATATTCAGCCAAAAGACAGCTCCTCAGGAGGAGGGGAGACCAGAGAGGCTGCGGTGTCCAGACTGGCTGACGACATGCTGGAGAAACTGCCTCCTGACTACGTACCATTTGAAGTATGTTTGTGTTTCACTGCGAATAGCCTAAGGCAAACAACTGAAGTTAGGCATAGTGTTCACTGTTCCTTTCATGACATGAGCTGGGCTGATTGTCTATTGTGGTGCAGACAGGGATAGGTGCTGTGAATACAGCTGGATCCGGCTAAAACCTTGTTTTTTTTCCCTAGTCCCTCTTGTCCTCTGTCAAAAAAAAAAAAAAAAAAAAAAAAAAAGGTTGAGGCGAGATTATGGCTCTGAAGCAAGTGCAAAGCTTTTCTGTCACCTACCATCACACCATGTAGCTCAAACTCTCACTTCCCTGTGATTTGCTTACATGGGGAAGAAGTACACGCAAAGCATTCCAGGATATATCTGGGTCATCTGAGGCCTTTATTTTCTTCTCATACACTTCTTAAACACTTTTCTTTTATGACCCTCGGCCATTTTCAAGGGCCGCGGTGAGCTTCAATGACTGTCTGAAACCGTTGCACACCAGAGACATCCACCGCAGAAAAAGAGCCTTATGTAAACATATCACCAAAATGATTGACAATTAGGAGGTCCACTTATTTAGAGGATCCACCTGGAAATAAAAGACCATCCATACCTTTAAGAAAAAAAAAGTAGCATAAAAAAAAAGAGACCAAAAGTCGTGAGCAGGCAATTTTTTCAGAACAACAATAAACTCAAATTGGCTGTTTATCAGCTGATTAAAAGTCTAAGACAGCTTTTAAAAGCCAAAATCGGTACAAAATAAAATTAATGCCATGTCATTTCCTGTCAGGTAAACACATTTTGAAGATCTCGTAATGTGCATATGCAATAAAGCTCACCGTCTTTGAACAAGGTGGGACTGTTAAGCTGCATAAACAAGCTTCTCACAACATTCCATCACTGCTGAGGTTGAACGCAGTAAGGCAGTCATTTCTTCAAAGATCCTCAGGGTTATGGAGCAAAAAAAGTCAAGCTTTAGACCCCAACATATCTCAAGTGACACTAAGGGGGAGTGTTGGAATGGCTGTCTGTCAAGACACAAACCATTAAGGCCATTACTGGTGCTAACTGTAGCCATCAGCGAGCACCCACATACAGTAGGAAAGTCTTCAAAGGTCACATCTCCTTCAATGCCACAAAATTGCCCAAACACTAGAGATTCAAAGGTGGAAGAAAGACTTATTTACTGATAAGAGAAAGTCTAACTTTAATTGTCTTGATGGCTTCCAGTATTAATGGCATGCCAAGGAGGTGCCAGCTGATAATGGTGAAGCTAGAGTCAGTTTTTGAATTGAATTTCTGTTTTAGGAGGTTGCAGGGTTTTTTGAGCTGTGCTCTTAAACATTCGATCAGATGATGAACAGCCTGTTTGAGTTCATTTGTTGTTTTTTTATAGGAGTGTACAAAGATGAGTGCGGATGGATGAGATAAAAGCAAAAATAAAAAAGACCAAAAAGAGAAACAGGCAGATGTAGGATTGCCAGGTGATTAGAGACCTTACTGGTCAAGATTCAGAAGCTGGAAAGTTATTTACTCTGAAAATAAAGCCGAACAGGAATTTTAGACAATCTGGAATTATCTTAAATTGTGAGAATTAAGATGTATTTCTTAATTCTCAAAAGTGGTGTGTGTCCATTTTTGCATCTTTCCTAATTTTGTTTTCTGTTATTCTTCCATTATTTCTTTTATGGTTCATTCATCTCTAACAAGGCAAGGCACATTTATTTCTATAGCTCAATTCAATGCAAGGACAAATCAGAGTGCTTTACATGAATCTGACAATAAATTCAAAGAAAACTGAAAGCAGAATAAAAGCAAAGATAATCCTTTATCTTTCCGTTCTTCAATTCTCCTACCCATCTCCTTTTCTGGTGAGACATTCTTATTCATCCTTCAACCATTTCCATCCTTCTATTCACCTTGCTGTTCATGCATCCACTTTCAATCTGATTCTGTCATTTACCTGTCTGTCCATTAATCCATGAGCCTGCCCATTCCTGTGTTGGCCTCTTTGTAGGGTTTTTTTTTTTGGGGGGGGGGACATTTAAAGGTGGTTTCTTGGGCATGTTTATCATCTATGAATTCTGTCTCTAGCATGTAACTGAACCATATTTTTACTATTAACAAATTATTCTGTCTCTGCATATTAATATCCGAAAATGTTTGTAAGGTTATTTAAAATGTTAAATTGAAGTTAATCTGATGGTTTCACAGAGGTTATTTCTTGGAATCGTTAAAGGGCAGAAGGGTCACGACGTAAAGTAATTTAAATGTGTTCGTTTTAAATCAGGTACAGGAGCGTCTTCAGAAGATGGGTCCCTTTCAACCCATGAACATCTTCCTCCGCCAGGAGATTGATCAGATGCAACGGGTCATAGCTCTGGTCCGAAACACTCTAATGGACCTCAGGCTGGCCATCGATGGGACGATCATCATGAGCGAGAACCTGCGTGATGCTCTGGACTGCATGTATGATGCACGCATTCCTGCACGCTGGAAGAAGGTCAGCTTTCCACAAGAATAATGTTCCTTAACCTGTTACTCAGCCACATTTTTTCATACTCAAAGCATTTATGTAATAACTTTGACTACCTTTTCCTTTTCACTGTGTTTTGTCCCCTTGGATTTAGATGATTCCTTCACTTTGATTTGTTGGGGTTCCATTTTGTTTTTTAGTTTTGTTTACATCAAAGTAGCAGGAAATATTCAAGCTGATCCTACTTCTTTCATTATAATCCAAGAGTGTTGCAATGATTTATATTAGGAGGCAGGAAATGCATTCAGATCAGTCTGCGTAGGAATTATGCTTGCAACCCATAAAGAAGCCAGTTCCCCTTTTTTCCCTCTACACAATCTGAAAATTCATGTTTTAAATCAATTTAAAAGATGAAATATGAGAGCCAAACATGCTGAGACTTGATCAGGGTTTAAAAAAAACACAGTTGCTACAGAGAATATGTCCACCTATCTCACAAATTAAATGCTTTACCAAATATTGTTCAATTAGCAAATCAAGGTGAAAATTAGAGCATTTTAGACAGGCATCCTGGCTGAAGTCTGCATTGTCCCCATTTTGTCTGTTCTCCTCTGTGACAGTGTTTAATCCATCAAAAGAACATTTAGACTATGTTTTTGTTTGTTTTCCTTGCAGGCATCATGGGCCTCCAGCACCCTGGGGTTCTGGTTCACAGAGCTGCTTGAGCGGAACCACCAGTTCCAGGCTTGGATATTTGAGGGCCGACCTAACTGCTTCTGGATGACGGGCTTTTTCAACCCGCAGGGCTTCCTGACAGCAATGAAACAGGTACACATGGCCTCAATCTGGCTACCCAATACTCTCTGCTAGAGAGGAGACCAGATGGCGCACACAGGGGCAGGCAGGCACACAACCACAACAACACACACAAGTGGACACACTATCACAGACCGGCCAGTATAAACACTAATTTATCTTAATATAGAGCAAATGAGTACAGGAGAGAAATAATTAAAATGTTTAATTTTAATGGAGCCACATTTAGAGGCTTGCCCTCATGTTAGAAGGCATCAGTATCTCTCTCCTCACTAAAGCAGTTCTAAATCCAAGATTCAGATTAGAAACGAAAAACATAAATCTTAAGATCAAATAAAAAGCTATCAAATCTGGGAAAATAATTAAGTTGCTTGAATAAAAGGAACACAGTTGTTGCCTTTTATAGAGTCCTCCATGTTGTCACACATAAAAGATCACTGTACCGACGTATGAAACACTGGCTTTAAAGCAAGCTTCCTTCAGTTTTTCACTGTATTAACTGTGTTAACATATTTGCAATCTACAATTTCAACCATACGAGACGAAAATAGAATTGATTTCATTTTGTCAAGAAAGAAGAAAATGAACATCAGTGCTTGGTGCCGTATATGCAATTTTTTTTCCAAAGACGTGTCTGAGCTGCTAACTGCTGACCCACATAAAAAAAGCACTCTTGATTAATTTGATTCAGTTTTCAGCTCTTCTCAGAGGGACAAAAACAAAAACTTGGATAGAAAGAGATACATTTCCCACAGGGAGTGACTTCAGATCATACCTAATAGGCTAAGTTATTGTATTGGTTTAACAGGAGCTGCTTTGAAATATTGTTCCTAAATCTATCAGACCAATCCTTTCCTGTTTCTTTTTGAAACTATACGCTTGCTTCAATTCAACAAAATGCTGGTCTACCTCACACCTATGTATTGTTCCCGCTTCTTTTTCAGCATGTTTGAGCCCCTTAAAACATTTATTATCCTTGATTATTAGATGATATTTCATTATTGATCTCTTGAGATTTCAAAGCCACTGGTGCTACATAAGTAAATAAACCAGGTTAAAAATATCCAGTTAAATTTAGAGAAAAATATAAAAATTTGGGTTTCTGTTTTTTTTTTTAAAGCTCTTTGACTGCATTGAAAAATGGGAAACTTTAATCTTTATGTTGGTTTTGGATAAATGATAGTGTTGAACACAAAGATATTCAAATGACCAAAACAATAGATTTCCATAATGAAAAGCTGCTGAAATAACCTGCATATAAATTAACTGAGAAGTAGAGCTTTTTTGTAGCAAAATCATCTTTAGCTTGTTTTTTTTGTTTTTTTAAGCAAACCAATTTGTTTTGCTCTTTAAGGTTGCAGTGGGAGTAACTTGGAGTCATTTTAGTATTTATGTCAGGTTTCTGTGTCTGTCAGCTTTTCTTCCCCCCATTTTGCACTGAAGAAAAATCCCAGCTCTTTAGAGACAGAAAGTATGGATGATGAAGCACTCTCATTTTTATTGTGGGCAGATTTGTAGACCTTGTAACAGCCACCAGAATTCCCTTTTTTAGCTCTTAAAGAAAACTGTCTTCTTGAACTGCAGCTCTGGCAACATCACCTCCTTGCTAAGATCATCAGTTTATGTACAAAGTGATAAAAAAACAGATTTTTTATGTTCACTTTTTCAGTTTTCACATTCATTACTTTTACATCCTACTTTTTTTACTTTGATACAACCCTGTTATCTGACATTATTCCAACATAATAAACGAAATGTCTTCAACCACAGGGACATCATCCTGTTGTTTTACCTTTTTTTGGATTATAAAAAAAACAAGAAAAGGGTGCCGTGTATCTGCCCCCTTTTATGAACTGCTGTGTTGTAGTGGTAACATTGGGACCTTAACCTGAAGATTTGCACATTTACTCTCAGGAGATTACTCGAGCCAACAAAGGCTGGGCCTTGGACCGCATGGTGCTGCGTAACGAGGTAACCAGGTGGATGAAGGATGACATCAACAACCCGCCTGGAGAGGGGGTGTATGTGTACGGTCTCTACCTGGAGGGGGCCGGCTGGGACCGCCGCAACTGCAGACTTGTAGACTCAAAGCCCAAGGTTCTCTTTGAGATGATGCCGGTGATCAGGATGTACGCAGAGAATAATGGTAAGGTTTCTTATGAAAAAAAAGCATGACATACAATATGAATGGATAATCTTTAATCCTGCCCAATTTAAGATGATCTTAAAGTCTCACTCCCCCTCATGGTGTTTATCCCACAGAGTCACTGGATACATGAATGATTTAAATGTCAAGAAGACTTAAATTTTATGCTTTTAGGAAATACATTTCCTCCAATTTGTGCAAGATATAGTATTACTGCTTACAATGATCTGCAGCCAGCCCTTTGCTCCCTGCTTTAACACTATGAAACAGTTACCTAAACATCATTATGCAATGAGCAGAGCTGGAAGGGCATAAAGCAAACTTTACACTGCCATGAAATTTTGTAAACTGATCAGAAGATTAAGGATCACTATAAGGGTCATCATTTTGTTTCATTACATCACCATAATTAGGATGGATTTTGTGATGAACTTTCCTTGGGTGTCATGATACAACAATATATGCTAATTTATTTCCATTTTGACATTTCTGTCTTTGGTTGCAAGACATAAACATTGGGATATGACTGGTTTAAAGCCACATTAAACTTGTGGCTTAATTATGGAAATCAATAACACCTCTACCATTCATCCATCATTCTGGGCACTCATAATCAACACTTTTCTGTTTGTTTTATTGTTTTACAGCACAGGCAGAAACACAACTAGCTCTGTTGTCTATAGGGGGAGTTGGACAACTCTACATTTTGGCAGTGCTCCTAATCTGAATCAAGCATGCCACACGTAAACATGTGCCATGATCTGATCATTTTGCATCCACACAAAAATCTAGTTCAAATTTATTTGAATTAAATCATAAAATGTTGTGCATGTTAACAGTTTAAATTAAAATTTTCTCCACAGTGGTCAAAGTTCCTGGCCACGGCACCTTTCTTCTTTTCTACACTGCCTTTGGAAAACTACAGAGGGTTTCTCATGGTTTTCTCTCTTTACAATAGTTTCTCTTTTGCAGCCTTTCAGAAAGGCCAGATTTGAAGAACGCAGGTTTTATGGTTGTCTTGGTAACAGAATCTCCCACCTGTGATGTTGATGTCTGAATTACCATGGGACCATTGGCTGTCTCTCTGATTAATGCTCTCCTTAACCAGCCTGTCAGTTTAGTGGATGCCCATGTCTTCCCGCTCTTATCCTTGACCTGTCTAGTGTGTTAGTGTGACAATTATTTTGGTGCTTTTAATGTATCCAATAATTGTATATGGAGGCAGACATCAGTCGTACTTTTTTTTCCATGGAAACCTGTTGTCATCACTGCCTTTGAAGTAAATGAAGCTGCAGTGGCACATAAAAGAGTTTGTTTACACTTGTTTCCATTTCTTACAAGGAGGCTGGTTCCTGACAGAGATCCATGTTATAAGAGGCTGATTATGTGCAGATTACAAAAGTCCTGCCTTCTTGATCACTCGACCATCACCTATAAAGACTCACTGAAGATTTGATTTACAGAAAACATCCAGTTATTTTTTCATAATGACTCGCTGACAAAGGGGAGCCAAATCTCTGCTAAAAACAATTACGTTGAAAAAGGAACTATAACAATATTGTCCTAATTCGAGTTATTTTACCACTTACTCTGCATGAAAACAGATGTTGTTAAACACAGCTGGATGTCTCTGTGGCACCATGCCGATGCTAGTATTTCAGAAACTTCAAGTAGTACCACTTAAGATGTGTAATTAACAGGCAGTTTTACCAGCTGCTGCTCCTTTTGAGAAGACTTTTTTTGCTTTGTGTTGCAGGAGTGAGGGATCAACAGAACTATTCTGCTCCAATTTACAAGAAGCCAGCAAGAACAGACTTGAACTACATTGCAGCTGTGGATCTTAAAACTGTGTTTCCTCCAGAGAAATGGATCCTCAGGGGTGTGGCTCTGCTCTGTGATGTTAAATAATTTCTTTATCTTCATTATAAATATAACACAATAAAATTGTTGCATTTGAAAATAAGACTCTGTCTCAATTAAATTAAACTGTGTAATCAATTTATGATGAAATGCTTTTAGGTATTCATGAAAAAATAATAACTTAATTTTTCCAGGGAATCTTGTAGGGGGGGCAGGAGGTGGATATACAGGACCGATAACGTCCAGATGAGATTAAGAAAAATAACTCTAAAAATGTTATTACAATTCTAATAATTCTAATTTAAAATGAGTTTTTTTCAATGGGAAGTAAATGTGTAAAGCTTTTAAACTTTTAAATAAATCTGTCATTACATTGAACAAATGATATCAAAAATGCATCTAATAAATTAAACAAAACCATCTTCTTTGTTCCATAAAGAAAAAATAGGCAGCAAAAGCTGCTACTATAGAAAAGCAGGTGAGTTTTAATTTAAGACAAAGGCAGATAATGCTCTACATCCTAGTTATACTGTAGCACATTCATCTAAAACCTGCTTAAAATGGATCAGTCAAGTGCGAAAAATCATAGACTGCTCAGCTAAGTGTTGTATAACCCCAAACCAGAAACATTTAGAAGAAAATGTTAAAAAATTAAAGAAACATCTGAAATAAAAAACTACCTCTAACAATTAGGAAAAGTCTGTGAGGTCTGATTGGTGAAAAAAACAGAAAATATGTGACCTAGACTGTCCTTTTAACGTTTTATGTACCAGTCTGTCAGTAGACTGTGATGCAAAGGTGAATTAATCAGCATGATATGAGGATGTCTGTCCCCTCCCCTCTTACCCGCTGCCTCATATGTTAATATTTATGAGGGATAAATACAAAGTAAAACAGTATCACCTTTCTGAAGACCATGCCAAATGAAGTAGGTAACTCATAACTTTATAATGCAGCTTATAAACAATTGGAGAACAACACAAAGCAATGTTGTGTGAAATTGCACCATCCCACCAAATCATAAATTCAGTTCTTCACATCCCTACTTTAAAGTTATTTCTATCTAAAACAATGACTCATTTCTTATTGCTCCTTTAATGTCATTTTTTTTCTCAGATGGGTAGATTTAAACTAAAGATTGGCCAATTTAGATTGTTTATTTATGTATTTGTGTGGAATATTGCCACTAAGATGAATCTGTTAAGAAGTCTTTTTAAAGACCTTTATTATGGCTGTTGATGCTGTAAATGTGGAAGGTGTTGTGTTTGAATGGGAAGAGCTGAGAAAACAAAATCAGAATCACTTTATGGGGGAATAAGGGCTAAAATGTAAGGAAATAAAGATGAACTTGTTAACAGATTATTGTCTCACTTGAGAGCCTCTGGCGGCAGCTTGGTTCCTGACACGTTGTTGGAGCTGAGAGACGCCGGGCAGCTGAAGAAATATTTAAACGATGGAGGCACATCTTTGCCTTTCCTGCACAGTTTCCTGCACACATTGAGTTTGGAAAAATGACTTAGTTGGTAATCAGCTGCAGCCCCAGGGTTGTCACTATGGACCATTACAACCCAGTCTCATGGGAAACAGGCTCAGTAGATCTGAATCTGTGGTCCAAACAGGCAGTAAAACCACTAGTCTTTTTTTTTTCCATTGTGCATTTATACTTAAAGTGAAACACTAATGGGTAAAGCAAAACTAAAATAAAGTGTGTCGGTTTAACTCAATTCAAAGTGAAAACTGTTAAAACATTTTTAGAATTTAAGAAAGGAAACGAAAAAAAGTCAAAGTAAATACAAGTTTTTTTTCTTAATAAATTCTCTTATTAAATTTGTCATCCAGAGTTTTCAAATGATAAACAAACCTCTAGTATTTCTCACACATTACTCTGCTTAGGGCTTTTCTTTATCAAACCTTTAGTTGTGATCAAATCTCTCTGAGTCATTTTAGGATTCAAACTATCACCAGAAAAAAACAAATTTTAGTTTACTGGCCTCATGTTTTATTTATTTATTCAAGATTAGGAAGATACAGCCTCTTTTCAGCTTTAGATTACCGGTATAAAATGTTGATATTCATTTACCTGTGAGGAAAGTTGCTTTTCGACACATTGAGAACAGAGAGGTGTTGAGCAGAGCCTCGCAGCAGAGCTGAGCAAACCTGGAACATAAAAAACAACGCAAGTTACCAAACTTCTTTCTGTAACTTTGTTTTTGCACTTTGACTGTCGGCGAGTCCTAAAACGAGCAGTTTCTATGGAAACAGACGATTCTGCTGTGTAGAATCGAAAGCGTTCACATGTCCATCTGACTGTAAAAGGCTAATTATGATTCAGGGGTAAATCGATGAGTTTGACTGTCTGACAGCTGGCTACATCTCAAGCTAATCAATAATCTGTTGCTGGCTCTCAGACCCACGTCAATATACTGAATTACCAGCACGATTCAGAACCACTTCATCACCCAGTGACCTGCAACAGCAAATTGAATGGGTGTGCAGAATTAAATTAAACCTCCTACAACAACGTTATTCATGGCTCGCACTTCATTTTCTAGTTAGCTACAACTCATACAGTACGTAACGATTCACAGAGAGCACTGCTGTAAATCTTGGGCATATCTTCTGCTAATGCATTGAAACACTTACTCAAAAAATATGAATTTCATTAGATTCTTATGCAGCCGCCTCACCTGATCCAGGGAGCAGTCTGTGTTGGAGAGGTCGAGTGTTGCCAGGCTGTTAGGTTGACCCAGGAAGTTATAGAAATGCTGGAAAAAAGTAAAAAAAAAAAAAAATAAGAAAGAGAGTCCAAAAGATTTTAAATATCATGTCTGCTGGGAAAGAAAGCCATCCCCACCATTCAACTTAAAGGTATAGTGGAGGATGTTCTTTTTCTTGGTGGATCATCAAAACAAGCGGTCCTCCTAATTGTCAATCATTCTGGGGATATGTTTATGTAAGGCCGTCCTACGTGCTCATCACCATTTTTATCTACGTTAATCATCTCTTTTTTCCCCTTTCCTATTCTTTTAAACTATGGACAGACATAAAAAAATGGTTAAAATTGAAGAAGTTCATTGAGAACTCCTTGTTTAGTTTTTTTTTTTCCAATTTAAACTGTATTACGCCTCATTAAAAATTTTGAAGTCTGTTTCTGCAAAAAAAAAAAACTGCCAGTATTTCTACTTTTCTCTTGTTTTAAATCTTGCTCTATTTTCATTCATTGGCCTTGCTGTTTAGCTATCTGTTCTTAGTTTTAGCCCCATGTTCTGTCTATTTTCTTTTTACCCAGGTTGTGATATTTTATTCATCAACAAGTCTTTTTATACCGTTTGTTTGTTATATGAATTCAAAAAAAAAGCAAGAAAAAAAAGCAATGATATTAACCAATCACAGACGTTTCAGACCTGCGAACCAACAACAGGAGGCAACAACATCATCAAACAACTGCAAGGTGTAGGCTAGTTTACTGCACATTAACTGGCAAGATCACAATAAATAAATACCACAAAGGCAGCTAGAGACATGCACATATATGCAACATCTACTTGTGCAATATAGACATATGCAATATCTACTTATGCAAAAAATACATTTGCAACTTATACATATGCAGACAACGCATGCAACAACACGTATATATCTGCTTTTTTTTATACAAACAGAGCCCCATACATGAATGATGGTTTGTCTCTGTGTTGCCCTGTGATAGACTGGCCACCTCTACAGAGTGTACCCTGCCTCTCGCCCATTGACAGCTAGAGATAGGCACCAGAACCCCCCACGCAACCCCAGAAGGGATCAAACATGGTGGAAAATGGATGGATGGATAGATGGACTTATCTCAAACTTGAGAAAATGTTAGTCAAATGGAAGGATGATTTCATTTTGGCCTTCATCTCCTACTGGTGAAGATATTGCTATGGTATGAGGTAATTTGCCCAAAAATACCTAACCCAGTTCTCCCAGTGAGCTTTAACTATTTTATTTAGAGACAGTGACATCTAGAGGTTGATAGATGCAAATACACCCTGAGGGTCAGTTACAGCAAGTTAAATGGATAGGTCCGTTTTTTCAAAAGAGTTTTTCAGAAATATTTTCGCTGACAGGTTTCATACTGTCATAAGTTTATAGACGAGTATTGGCTCCCCCACAACCCTGTATGATGCCTGTATGATGGTGATGCAAATAGATTGTTAGACATTTCTTCAATACATAATTAGTGCAATATGACGCACATTCAATGTTCTGTCTTTTTAAAGACACATAAGGCCTATGATATATTTATAATGTCACATGGGAAGTGCCTTGTGAAAGGAGATAATATTATTTTTGTTTCTTGGCCTTTTAAAAAAATGGGCACAAAATTAAAAGAATTTTGAGATTTTTTTTAAGACTGTGTTTCTGTTAAGAGCAAATGAAATCAAGATGAAAAAATTATTTATAACTTCTTGTTTCTCGAGTTGTTTATCCTTCAAAATAATGGTATATGTTTAGTTTGTGATAGGGATATAAGTCAACAAAAAGGATATGGATGCAACAATGATGATGGGTAGTTTCTCTGTTATGGAAGTTCTGTGACTCCTAGCATCTCCATTCAACAATATCGTTATTTTAAAACGCAAAACCCTCTTTTTCCACTTTTTAAAGACAACTGCTCAATCTTTCTGTCTGTAAGTGTATAGACACACAAGATGTAAAACTGATGTAAAACTCGGCTTTTACAATGTAGGTGATTTTGCGACCTGTTTACATCCCAGTCGATATTAGTGATTGTTCCCTGAATAGTTCTATAGGGAGGGCATTTCGCGTTTCTGTCTTAGTTGCTTGTGGAGAAATGACCTGGGCCATAAGTAGCGAGGAAACGGGGAGCGATTCTTGTGGGATGGAAGAGGGAATTATTCAAAACAAAGAAGATTGGAAGAGCGTAGAGTCAAAAAATGAGAAAAAACGGAAAAAGCAGAGATCACTTGCAGATTAGAATCTTAAAGATAGAAATTATGAGGGCAAATGTGATTAAGTATTATGTTGTGTTAAGTTAAACAGTTCGAAAAAATATTATTTATTATTATATT